CACAAAGGGACGCGCCGCGCCGCGCGCGGCTCCCGGGCGGCGGCGGGTCGGAGCGGTGGCCCTGCGGCCCCGCCCCCCCGGGTTCCGGGGCTTGAAACCCTACAGCCCGCGCCGCGTCCTTCCGGGGACGGCGGTGGCGTGGGGTCGGGGACATCTTTAACAAAAGCTTTAAGTTTGGGCATGGACACTTGCGTGCTTTTCCTTGATTTTCCTCCCGACCTGGACGTCTTTGATGCGCACCGGTTCTTCTTGACCCGGGTTCCTTCTGCAGCGGGATTCTTGATCCCGAGGGGGACCCAACTCCATCCTCAGCCGAGGGGCTTGGGGAATTTCCGCAGCCTGTTTCTAGGTCACCTCTGCTGCCCTGATCCTAGCAGGTCCTGGGTTCCCACAAATGGCGAGCCCTAGCCGGCTCCGAGCGGGGACACACTGGAGCAGAGCAGAAATACAGGTTTCAAGTGGGGCTTGGGATGCCTTGGCATTCGAGGCTCTGTTCAAAAAGCTTTATAGATCTGATCTTACCCAACCACCTCAGAAGTTACGTCGTGAAGGAAAGTGCGGCAGCTGGAGGTTCCCACGGTGGCTCCAGGAGCTGTCACAGGGAGCCCCTGGTAGGCAGAGGGTCAGCACCACACACAACAGCAGGTCCCAGCAGCATTGTGGGACTGTTCGAGCTTGGCAGTCACAGATTCCAAAGCCACCTATGGCTTCAGCATTCAGAATTACCTAGTCATACCCACTCCTCACCAAAGCTCCTCAGATTCTCCAGGCAAAGTGTTGGAGGAGTACTCCTAGGAGGAAACTTGGTGACTGCGTCCCAGGCGGACACGCAGCTTGCAGACCTTTGGAACGTGGGTTTTGAGTTGAGCCAGTCAATGGACTTGACCTGGTACAGCCAGTGATTCACGGACTGTCTTGGTGTTTAGACTGTGGATCCGTTACTGAGGAGGCTAAGAAGGGCTTGTGAGGTGTGTGCCCTACACTTAAGATGTGTACTTTGATCTAGCCTGGTGACGTAATCACATTATAGCGGCAAAGTCAGGATTGTGAGTTCGATGACAGCCTGGGCTTCCTAGCAAGTTCAAGGACAAGGCCAACCTATGTAACCAGACCCTGTGTCAAAAGCCAAGCCCTGGGGATAGAACACTTGCCTAGCATGCACAAGTCTCTGGGCTCCACCCCCAGCTTGTGGGTTGTGGGGTGGTAGAAGGGTGTGTGCTTTATCTACTCAGTGTATTAAACAGGCCCATGTGAGAACACTGTTTGGGGGAGGCAGGGAGTCCGGAGAAGCCTGGTGGGTGGTAACAGCCTGTTCTCAGAGTAAATCTGTGGTAGACTGTGGCCAGGCCAGATCCTGCTGGGCCTTCAAAGTCCCACTCAGATAGCCCCTCCCTCATCCCTGGACAGGGATAGGACTCTGAGGATTGTTTGGGCTCCTGAGTTCACCTGTGGCTGGCCTTGTTGGTCCCTAGCCTTGCGTGGAGCTAGGGCATGGTCAGTGCTCACTTACATACTGTAGAATCTCTGACAGGTTCTGTCAGAGAGGAGTTTTAGAACAAGCAGATACCTTGCAGTTGCCTCAGCCTGTGGCCAGAGCCCAGGTGGTGTCAGACACAATATTCGCTCAGGGTGTCAAGGAGTGGTTCCTTCCTGCAGTCCAGTTGGTGTCCTTTGTCCCGGCCATGTCTGTGCTTTCCTCTTCCTGGGGTCTCCTCCTGTGTGTTTCTGTATTCTTCTTCAGACAGTGCTGGTGCTGGTAGGGCTTGCCCCAATCCAGTGTAACCAGTCTTAACTCTGTTGATTTGCAGATGGCCCACTTTCCAAGTTCAGGGGTGTCCAGAGAAACAGGGATGGGAGGTCAGGAAATTTGAGCATGCTCTAGGTGGTCCTGTACCTGGCCTGCATGGAGCAGATGTTGCTACCCAGAGCAGGTCTGGAGAGCTGACCTGACCTGGAGCAGGTGATCTTATGTTGACAGTGCCGGCACCTGTGCTTTGGTGAGGACAGTGGGGGTGACTGTGCCTGGGACCCTGAGGTGGAGCTGGGTAGTGTCTTCACAGACACTAGTGACCCAAGACCAACCCTGCCTTCCTCGCCACTAGCTGAAGACCTAGTGCGTCCACGTCCAGCACTGTGCTGATGCTGTCTGCAAAGGTGCCGTGCAGCGGTTCCTGAGGCTGCCTAACCAAGCACATTCTAGGGACCGCTGGGTGCCCCCTGCTGTTTACACACATCAATTACCAAATGAAAGTTACATGTCTGTTTCTGGTTTGTTGTGATTCCTGTTTTATTTTTAAATTTATTGTTGTGTCTGTGAGTGCACATGCATGGGTGTGCATGCCACAATGTGCTCGTGGAGGTCAGAGGACAACTGTGGCATCAGCTCCTTCTGTCTTTATGTGGGTTCCAGGGATCCAAGTCATGTTGCCATGCTTGGATGGCACCTTTCCCTGCTGAGCCATCTTGCCTGCCCAGTGTTGGCTTTCTGCTTGTGTCCCTGGCTGGAGAATGGGAAGGTGGCTCTTCCTCTGCTCGTGGCAGAATCTCCAGCCTCTTTGGAGTCAGGCCTGGGAAACAGCTTCAGGTGAGCAAGGTAAAGCTGGGATGGACAGAGACTAATCTGTCCCAAGGTGGGGTTGGAAGAGGAAGGTGAGGCCAGCAGGGGATGCTGTGCCCAGGGACCGAGAGCCAAGATGAAGTCCTGCCCCAGTGTGCCTGCCGCCAGGGTGTGGAGGAAGGGGGCTCCAGTAAGAGACGGCAGCCCAGGTAGGGGTGGGTGATGCAAGAGTGGTTGGAGGCTGGGCAGACAGCAGCTGCCCTGTGCCACCTTCAGACCTGGAGCTGCTGCCTTGGAGAGCGGGGCCAGTCCAGCTGGGACGGCAACCCTGCCACCTGGAAAGTTAAGAGATGTTCCACAGAGTAAGACTTGTGGGCCTGCTGTTAGCATGGCAGAATGGTGACTCTGGGGTAGCTGCTCTTGAGCAGGGGTCCTTCCTAGGGGAGCACAGGGTCTGTCCATCTCACTCACTACTCAGTCCTGGGCCTGCCTTGGGGAGAGAACAGTCCTTTGGCTTTTTTGCCTTATGTCAGGCAAGGAAGCATCTCATGGCCCATGAACCTAAGCTTTGTATCCCCTCCAATGGGGAGACGCAGGGACAGGTGTTCTCTGGAAGGAGACAGGCCCAGGCCCTCTGCTTGGTGAGGCCTAGCTAGGAGCCCTCCTTTTAGACATTCCAGAGAAAGCTTCTCTGGCCAGTCACTGCTGCCCTTGCACCTGCTCTCAGCTGTCTGAAGGGGAGAGGCACTTGGAATAGGACTCAGACCCACAGGCACTTCTCTGCGCCCCACCCCTTAGTTGGCCCCTGGTTCTCTCGGAGAGAGCACTGTGTGGACAGCTTTGGTTGTCAGCGTGAGACACTGAAAGAGGGAGTTGGGGAATTGCTTCTATTGGATCGGCATATGGCCATGTCTATGAGGCATTTTCTTGGTTGTTGAGTAACATGGGTGGTTCCAGCCCACTGTGGGAGGTGCCACCGCTGGGCAGGTGGTCCTGTATTGTATAAGAAAGCAGCCTGAGGGAGCTGGAAGATGGCTTAGAAGTTAAGAGCACTGACTGCTCTTACAGAGGACCAAGGTTTGATTCCCAGCATCCACATGGCGGCTAACCACCGTCCATGACTCCAGTTCCAAGGGTCCTTCTTCTGACCTCCGCAGGCATTGCACAACATGGGTGCACTTACATACATTCAGACAATACACTCATACACATAAAATAAAAAATAGCCGGGCATGGTGGTGCACGCCTTTAATCCCAGCACTGGGGAGGCAGAGGCAGGTGGATTTTTGTGAGTTCGAGGCCAGCCTGGTCTACATAGCTCCAGGACAGCTGGGGCTACAAGGACACCCTGTCTCAATAAAGACAAAAAATAAATAAATAAATACATTTAAAAAGGAAAGAGCGGGCTAAGCACCAGGGGAACAAGCCATAAGCACTCCTCCTCGGCCTGTGCTCCAGTTCCTGCCGAGCTCCTGCCTTGGCTTCCCTGATGAATTGTGCTGTAAGCCAAACAAATCATTTCCTCCCCAAGTAGGTTGTGGTCAGTGTTTTCATCACAGCCGTGTGAAGAGCAAACTAGAACAGAAATCGGTACCAGACAGTGGGGTACTGCTGTGACAGACCTGACTGAGTTGTTTGGGGGAGGATTGTAGACGGTTTTGGAGCTTTTGACTGGAAAAGCCAGAGTGTTCTGTAGGAACCTGGAAGATCATGCTGAGAGAGGTATGGATGATGGAGGCCTGGCTGGTGAAGCTTCAAAGGGAAGCAGAGATTATCAGGACTGTTTGTATGATGTTTTCAATTGAGAATCTGTGGTTTCTGGTCGACTGGTGCTGAAGAGTCAGCTGTGATTAAGAAGAGACCAGACCACTGAAGTGAAACTTTGGCTTTACTGTGAGCATTGATGCTGGTCAGCTGGGGCTGAAAGATCAGCTGTAACAAGAGACCAGCATCATTGAGATGAAATCTGGGCAGTATTTCCTCAGGGTCAGTACACAGAAGCTGTGCTCCAGAAGGGGCCCCAGACTCCATCTCAAGCTGGACTTGGTAATGTACAAGGGTCTCCTACATGGTTCTGGTGTTGAAGGTGTGAATGGGTCATGGAGAGATACGAGGCTTTGTACTCTTGAGAGGTCAGAAGAGCCCATTGG